GGGGGCGGCTCCCCTCCCACATTGCGGGGTTTTAGCCACGCCCTCTGTTCGCCCCGCCCCTGGGAGCTGCTGGTCCCCTCCCACTGTGCGGGAAGTAGCCACGCCCCCTGCCCGCCCCGCCCCTGGGGAGCTGCTGGTCCCCTCCCACTGTGCTGGGAATTGCCACGCCCCCTGTCTGCTCCACCCCTGGGTAACTGCTGGTCCCCTCCCACTTGTTCTGGCACAGCCACGCCCCCTGCCCGCCCCACCCCTAGGGAGCTGGTCCCCGCCCACTGTGCTGGGAAGTAGGTGAAATGAAAGTGGAAAGGTGAACAGTGGGTGCAAAGGCCCTGAGGCAGGGATGTGCCTGTGCATCTGAGGACAATGAGGGGACAGTTGACTGAGTGGAGAAGGTGGGGGTGGGCAGGAAGACATGGAGGCCTGACCCCTAAAGGGCCTGGGAGGACTTTGACTTTTGCCCTGAGAGAAATCTGAGCCATTGGTGGGTCCTGAGTAGAGGGAGGCGGTCTGACTGTTTGTTTTGTTTGTTTGTTTTTTCTTGGAGAGAGATTTTTTGATACAGGGCACGAGTGCCTCACTGGAGAGACAGAAAGAGAAATCCTTCCTCAGGGGGGATGGCTATGCTGCAATCCCTTCTCCTCCATTCTCTGCTTGGGATCTTGGGCACGCACACACACGGGCCCTGCGTGAGTTTTTTGGTTTTTTTGGAGAGGTTTTTGCTATAGGGCACGTACGCACGCCAGACAGACAGAGAGAGACATAGAGACAGAAAGTCAGAAATCACCCCCCAGGGGGGATGGCCACACCACAATCCCTTCTCCTCCATTCTCCTCTCGGGATCTTGGGCACGCACGCACATGCGCCCAGTGTGAGTTTTAAGCCACCGGGTCCGGGACGCGAACCACGGTCGACTACGTGGGAGTCCAGCGACATAGCCATTACGCTAACTGCTGGTTCCCTTGTGTGAGTTTTAAGCCAGTGGTCCAGGACTCAAACAGAGGTCAACTTGGCAGGTGTCCAGTGACATAGCCATTCTGCCGTCTCCTGGTTCCTGAGAATAGAATGAAGGGGTGATGTGGGCAGGAACAGTGGGCCAGTTAGGGGCTACTGCAGTAACTCCAGGGCCAGCGGAGGGGCCAGGTGGGAGCAGAGGGTGCCGGGGCCGTGAGGATGTGGCCGGGCCAGGTGGAGTTAAAAGGTAGAGCAGAGAAGACGGTCTTGAAGACAGGGCGACCAGTCCTGCAGCACCCGCCCCCCCATTCTCTGGGGAGCCTCACGCCTTCCTCCCTGCGGTGCCCATAGCGCATCCAGGTTATGATCCAGCCCAGCGAGGACATCGTTCGCCCGGAGAACGGTCCGGAGCAGCCCCAGGCCGGCAGCTCGGCCAGCAAAGAGGCCTACATCTAGGGCGGGGCGCGCCGACCCAGCACTCACCCCCCACCTGGCTGAACGCGACCACCACTTGATGTCTGAAGATACCTTCTGTCTCAACCTACCTCGAGTGGCGAGTCCAGACACCATCACATGCAAGGAGCGGGGAGGTGGGGGGACCGTCAAACCCCTGGGTGGGCCCTGCCGTGGGCAAAGAGGCCCGGTGGCTTCCGCACCCGGCGGGCTGGTGACCTTTTTAACCCGGCCCCGTAAACATGGAGCGGTGGGCATCGTAGCCGCCGCCGCCGTAGATCACGTTTATCCCGCCAGCCAGTGTGACCCGTGAGGCCACCACACACGCTGCTGGCTCTTAGTCTATTCCTGACTGTTTTCTTACTGCCGAAACCCATGACTGTGACCGGTACTTTGCAGGGGTTCGGTTCCCCGGATCGCTGCTGCACACATGCAAAGGGCATTTTGTACAATGGGGGTTTCCAGGGAGAGCTGACTCTTCAGTAGCAGGGAGCCAGCGGAGCTCTAGGTCCGTTTTTTGGTTTTCTCCCTCCCGAGGCAGCTTAACAAAACCCCCAAGACCTCAGTCAATATTCCCAGGGCTGCTTCTCCAGCAATCTGCCTGCACCCAGTGAAGGAGCACATGGGAGCCCCTCCTCGCAGGCCCCTCAGACTGGCCCTGACCCAAAGGCCAGCAGTCCAGATCTGGCCTGCATGTTGGGATCACAGCCACAAACACAACTGATTTCTTTTGGTCATCATTCCAGGGGCCTCAGGCCCCCATGGGGAGATTCCCAAATCGGGAGCTTGAGTTTCCTTAAGCTGCCCAATTTTACAGAGCACAAAATAGTTGCAGAGGAACTCAAAGCGCAAGGTCTGTCTGGACTCCAGACGCGTCCAACTGTCCTTTGGTTCCCCTCTGACACTTCCCTCACTGCCACCCTATTTGAGCAGCTGCCTCCCCACCCTGCTCCCCCCTCACCCCCACCCCTACAATGTGCTTCCGAGGTGAAAACTGCTTCACTGGGAAGTAGTTCATTTGTGCGTTTCTGGAATCAGGCTCCGTGGCGGTGGCGGCACGGCAAGTGAAGTCAGTCTCTTGCGAGCTCCAGCAAGGGAGCGTCTCTCGTTTGCCAGGAAGATGGGTTCCCATGTAGCAAATCGTATCTTGTGCCCCGTAGCTCCTTAGCTAGTTAGCTCACAAACTGTGTTTTATAACTAATCCTTAATAACTATGGTAAATAACTGTGACTGTAGGTTTTCTCATCTCTTGTCTTTCTCATCCGAAAGTGACCAGCATACCAGTTCTTGCAATAAGGTATTACCCTCTGAGTATTAAGCACATTGTCGTAGAGAAAAACGAAAATACGTATACACCTATCAATGCACAAACATGCACATTCCTCCTCACGCCCTGGCACACAGGGTCTCATTTGATATTGTACCATAGTCTCATCGAAAATCCTTTCTCCTGAGGTCATCTGTAAAATAGTCTCATTGCTCAGGCAACCCCAGTGCCGAGCGGTGTCTCCATGCTCACAACACATATGTATTGTTAAATGCTAGGGTTTAGAATGGAAGGACCCTCCGCTGTCTCATGGTCCCACCCTCACCTGTACGTGAATTCCTTTAGAATAAGGGCAGGAAGATTCGAACATTCTCTTTGTTCTTCAATGTGCACCTGAGACCCCCAAGTCTTTTTTAAGACCAATGCAGTGTATTTAAATGTTTGTAAGCAATTCTAAGTGAGATGTTTGGCAAGAAATCCCCTAACTGATTTCCATCCAAACTTACCTTGATAGCACAATATAAAGTGTTGTACAATTACTGTGAGAACTATGAATATGTGTAACTTTTTTTAGTATTTGCCCGGGGGAAAAAAAAAAGATATTGTATTATCATATATGCTTTTTTTTTTTTGCAATAAGGATTTATTCTCAGAACACCAAGTAAATCTATCTCTATATAAAAAAATATATGTAATATAAACATATTCAAAGTATATACAGAGCCTGTTTTAAAAAAAAATTACAGTATTATTTAGTAAAAATTATCTGTTCTATGGACCAAATGTAAAATATTTATAAATGAAGATGCATTTTAAATGTCTATAAATGGTGTCATAACTATAGCACGGGCATTATGTAAGTTTCTAAGAATTTAGAAGAAAAATAATAAAGGTTCTATGATATGCACTGTCCGACCTTCAATTCTTTGGGATGGGGGTACCATAGTCTCTTTCATCAGTACAAAAACGCATAAACGCAAAGCCGTATGTTTCCTGGGAGAGAGATTTGTGCTCAAAATCCAGCCAGCCGACAGTGGAGCCGTGTTAATATGATACTCTGCAAGGCCCACCGTGTGGGAAGAGACCCAACTCATGTGCAGAGACCTCTCCGAGAATACCAGGCACGTGTGTGCCCATGATCTGGGGCTGGCTGAAGCTGGAGGTGCTGTCTTCCTCTCTCCACCTCCCTCTCTCTCACTCCTGGAGGAAATAAATAAAACAGAGAGAGACACCAACAACCACGGAATCCTATCATATCCTTTCTTAGAGAATTTCCTTCCTCTGGATGCCAGGTCAACATCTTTTTTAATTTTTTAAGTTGTTTTTTTTGTTGTTGTTGTTTGTTTTGTTTTGTTTTGGCCACAGGGCACATGTGCTTGCCAGAGAGAAACAGAAAGTGGGAAAGTGAGAAATCACCCCTCGGGGGGATGTCCATGCAGCAATCCTTTCTCCATTCTCCTCTCAGGATTTGGGACACGCATGTGCACACGCCTAGCATCATTTTCCAAGTCGGTGTGTCTGAGATCCTACCCAGGGTCGGCCATGTGAAGAATCCAGTGCCTTGACCACTACGCCACCTGCTGGCCCCATTGGTTAATCTCTTACCTTGACAATGATGGCTTTGGGAAGGGGAAGGGGAAGACAAGGCAACTCATGTTTTCTTTCCCTTACTGGTCAGAAAGCCAAAAGCAGTGATGTTGGCAGAACGCGCGTGCATATCAAGAAGGGAGATGCATCTAATTCTGTGTAGGTTTCCACTGTCTGGAAGGACGGAATGCATATGCATGTGTGCGCTGAGATCCGTAGCGCAGAACTGCACAGACAAGCCAAATGCGCTTACATTTGCATCTGCATAAGGATGAGCGATAAGCCTCCTGGTAACAATTTAAGTTTTCCTTTATTTAGAAGAGCATTAAATAGCAAATTAAGAATTGCCGTGGCCAGTTGAGGGAAAGACCACGGAAGGAAGAAAGGTTTATATGTTAGTCTTTCTGACAGCACTTCTTTTCCTGGGTTTTATTTATTATTATTATTTTTAGAGGTTTTGCCTTAGAGGGCATGTGCTCGCCAGAGAAAGACAGACAGTGAGAGGGAAAGATTTTTTTTAAACATACACACACACACACACACACACACACACACACCTGCCCCGCCCAGCAATCCCTTCTCCTCCATTCTCTTCCTCGGATTTTGGGCATGCATGTACACGTGCCTGTCATAAGTTTCAAGCCACTGTGTCTGGGACTTGAACCGCGGTAGGCCATGTGGGAGTCCAGCGATGTAGCCACACACCATCTGCTGGCCCCTTTTCCTACTTTTTTAAACAAGGGGCCCTCCATTTTCCATTTGCACTCAATCCTACGGATTATGCAGCTGGCCTTGGGAAAAGTTAGGGAAGGCCGTGGCCTTTGTGTGCGTGGCTAGCGGATGACTGGGAGCCTCTGCCCAGCATCAGGTCATGGAGCAGGGGCCGAGGAGGGCCAGCCGGACCCTCTAGCACCTCTGTGAGTACATGTGCCCCTCACCCCATCGGACGGTACGATCTGATGGGAGCAATGGCTTTTGTATTTCAAACGCTGCATTCGCCCATGGCTGCCCTAGAGCTATACAGAGAAGGAGGATAAAGGAATGCAGGAGATGTAGTTGTTATGTTTTTCAAAACATTTTTATTAGGTTTTTGCTTAGGGCACATGCACTCACTGAAGAGAGAGACAGAAAGAGGGAAAGTGAGAAATCATCCCCCCTCCCCGGGGGATGGCCACTCCACAAGCCCTTCTCCTCCATTCTGGTCTTGGGATTTGGGGTAAGCATGCACACATATCCGGCATGCTTTTCAAGCCACCAGGTCCAGGGTTCAAACTGCAGTCAGTCATGTGGGCGTCCAGTGCCTTAACCACCACACCACCTGCTGGCCCAGGGAGATGCAGTTTTAGCTTAACAAGATCGACAGTAAAATACTCAGGGCATTCAAAAAGTTCTCGGAAATGTGTATTATGGGGGAAAGACATATGGATGTCAAAAGTTTTGACATCAAAATGCACTTGTACTTGCCATTTTTCTGAGAACGTGTGCAAGTCCCCTTGTCCGGTTGTCACTCCCTTATTCGTGGTTTCATTTCCCACAGTTTTAGTTACGAGTCACCTAGCGTCACTGTGTCCCAAAGGTTAAGTCAGTAGAGTACAGTAAGATATATGTTTTTAAGGTTTTTGCCATAGGGTGTGTGTACTTGCTGGAGAGAGACAGAGAGAGTGAGAGGGAAAGTGAGAAATCACCCCTGGGGGGTGGCCACGCCGCAATCCCGTCTCCTCCTCTCCTCCTGGGATTTTGGGCACGTATGCATACTTGCCGGTTGTGACCAGGTAGGAGTCCAACACCTTGACCACTATGCCACCTGCTGGCCCCGACGATTAGAGAGTTTAAGGGAGAGGTGGCAACCCCATCCCTGTAACTTTCATCACAGTATATTGTCATCATTGTTCTATTCTATTCTCGTTCATCTCTTACTGTGCCTAATTTATAAATTAAACTTCATCACAGATTTTGGATGCCCGGAGGCTCCTCAACTTATAATGGGGTTGTGTGGGGGGGGCTAGCGGATGACTGGGAGCCTCTGCCCAGCATCAGGTCATGGAGCAGGGGCCGAGGAGGGCCAGCCGGACCCTCTAGCACCTCTGTGAGTACATGTGCCCCTCACCCCATCGGACGGTACGATCTGATGGGAGCAATGGCTTTTGTATTTCAAACGCTGCATTCGCCCATGGCTGCCCTAGAGCTATACAGAGAAGGAGGATAAAGGAATGCAGGAGATGTAGTTGTTATGTTTTTCAAAACATTTTTATTAGGTTTTTGCTTAGGGCACATGCACTCACTGAAGAGAGAGACAGAAAGAGGGAAAGTGAGAAATCATCCCCCCTCCCCGGGGGATGGCCACTCCACAAGCCCTTCTCCTCCATTCTGGTCTTGGGATTTGGGGTAAGCATGCACACATATCCGGCATGCTTTTCAAGCCACCAGGTCCAGGGTTCAAACTGCAGTCAGTCATGTGGGCGTCCAGTGCCTTAACCACCACACCACCTGCTGGCCCAGGGAGATGCAGTTTTAGCTTAACAAGATCGACAGTAAAATACTCAGGGCATTCAAAAAGTTCTCGGAAATGTGTATTATGGGGGAAAGACATATGGATGTCAAAAGTTTTGACATCAAAATGCACTTGTACTTGCCATTTTTCTGAGAACGTGTGCAAGTCCCCTTGTCCGGTTGTCACTCCCTTATTCGTGGTTTCATTTCCCACAGTTTTAGTTACGAGTCACCTAGCGTCACTGTGTCCCAAAGGTTAA